CAACAACAGCGACAGAGGAGGCCCAGTAGTCAGTAGAGGCACACTTCGTCACCTACAAGGCGCCCACATGTCAAGCTCGCAGTAGTGGTGCCCTTCTCCCCGCCCAACTTGTCTCTCACCGACCACCACCCTTCTGCTCGTCGCTCGTAACGGATGGTGCCCGGCGAGGAGGGCAGCAAGCGACGTGCGACGCATCCTCCTTCCATGGTTGCCTCCCCTCTGAGGCGGAGATCAAGAGGGAGACCTTCCGGGAGAACCCACACCCCTCCATCATGTTCTAGAAGTTGTTCTCCAAGACACTAGCATCGTTAGGATCATCATCAATGGTGCCCGGACCACATGCGCCATGCTACTTGGTTCAGAGCATAAGCTAGTGATGCTTTCGGCTACTGGACCCCCAAGCAGCTTGGGTCTTCCTCCTCCCCGATGAATCGCTCCCACCCCGACAAGTACAAGTCTAGTTTGCCAACTACGTGTTAGAGTCACTTGTCACTATGAGGTCCGTACGAGCTTCCTCTATCCTATCTACGCTCTCGAGTCTTCTTTCTCCTCCCCTCTCTAGAGTTGCCGCTCTCTCTCCCTTGTCTCCCGGCCCCTCTTCCTCCTTGATTCCGGCAGTTTGCCGCCAGCGAGGGTTGGAGGAGGGGTCCGGCCACCTCCCCCTACTAGTATAGTGTGGTTAGGTCTGTTATTAGATCGTCAGGTGCTTCCTGTTGTCAGGGTTTGTCCCTAGTTGGTGCTTTTGCCGGCAAGTCTCCATGGGTGTCGGTGTGGTCGGCGGCAGCGATGGTTGGTGGCGGTGGAGGTGCGAGATCCGAAGATCAGTGGAAGAATCGACGGATGGAGATGGCTCCTTGTGGCGGCGTCGGCTGCAACTCCGTCTTCGGCCAGGAGGTCGCCGATCTGCTCCTAGCAACGACTGCAACAGCTTCTCGTGGCCTTCGTCGGCTGGATCTGTTGTCACTCGGAGCTCCCAGCTCATGGTGCATGATGATAGCCCGTCGGCGATGTGGCGGCGGTTTCTCTGGTGCCTGGACGAGAGCTTCCAATGCCAAGGTTCCATCAGTCAAGATTCATAGGATTTCACTTCCCCATCCATGTACGTCGATCCAAAAAGATAGCAGTTCGTTTGCCACCATTCGAGTTCTTCAGTGGGTTTGGGGACCTGGATTTGGGTTCCATCTTCCTATATGTTTCCGACTAGCTTGTTCCATGCAGGGTTTGTTGTTCGGCTTGAGCTCACGCTCCTCAGATTTAATGGCGAACTCCGTGGACATCTCTTGCTGAGCCTAGGGATGCTTACTCCAAAATCCACGGCTTAGTAGCAGACCTCTATTTTGTGCCGTCATCGTGGAGGCAACATGATGGGGATTACCGGTTTATCAAGCGTTGTGCACGCTGAAGGAGGCCCAAGGTCGCAATCGTCGCGACATTGCCACAGCTCCCTGTCGATGAGCACCTTCCCTGCTGCGTGGTTTCATTACGAAGATTGTGGCCTTAGTGCAGTTTCTTTGATAACGGATGGTTGTATGCTTTCTCTTTATCTGTTTGGCAATGTACTGGGATTTATTCCCATGAACTCTATTGTTTTATATTAATGAATGTTTAAGTTTCAAAAAAAAAACTATGAGGTCCGTACCAAGATGTACAACACTAACCCGAATGGATCCAAGGACTATCTCCAGGTCCTCCCTGATGGCCACCGCCGTGCGCCGCCTCCTACCCCTCCTCGCCAAGCACCATCTGCTACGGGTGATGAGGAGAAGGGCGGTGGTGGTGGAGACAGGAGGAACCACGCGACACTGACAAACTAGATGTCGGTAGGACGGCTCGAGAACCTCATGCTACCAGGCCGCGTTGAGCCTCCACCTCTAGCCCCTCATGGCCTCACCGCCCAACCGACATAAAGGATGGGAAGAGAGAGGGATAAGGAATGAATCATGTTATTTGAATGACATGTGGGTCCCACATTGGTTTTTGTTTTTTATTTTTTTCTATTGCCATGTCAGCCAAAACCATCCTTAATACTAGCTTGGGATTCAATTTAACCTGGTTTTATAAGATTAGGGATGCCTTATATCTAGTATCATGGTTTAGGCTGCGTTCGGAACGCTGTGTTCTCAACACAGGTTGTGCGCACGGAAAACGGAGCGGTCCATTAGCGCATGATTAATTAAGTATTTGCTATTTTTTTAAATAAATGGATCAATATGGTGTTTTTAAGCAACTTTCGTATAATTATTTTAAAAGAAACATACCATTTAGTAATTTGAAAAGTATGTGCGCGGAAAACGAGAATGTGTAGTTGGGAACTTAGGGTTCCGAACGCAGTGCGTTTCAAACTCGCCCTCAAAGTAAGGACTGTGAAGTGAACTTATTTACCGTTCAGGCCTAACAGAAACAGGCCGGCCTATTCACATTTCTGGGCTGCTAGCCCAATCTACGAACACCCTTTGCGGCCCAACTAGATCGAGATCTTGATTGGATCTGACCACGCGGTGGTCCGGAATTAGTTCTGGCCCATTATCTGATTGGGCCAGCCCAATAAGGCCTAAAAAAAGTGAGCGGGGACAATTAGGAAAGAGAGCCTCTAATATTATTATTACTCCATCCATTTCTAAATATTTGACGCCGTTGACCTTTTTAAATATGTTTGATCGTCCATCTTATTAAAAAATTTAAATAATTATTAATTATTTTCCTATCATTTGATTTATTGTTAAATATACTTATATGTATACATATAGTTTTACATATTTCACAAAAATTTGTAAATAAGATGAACAGTTAAACATGTACTTAAAAAATTAAATATTTAAAAACAGAGGAAGTATTATTTATTGAAAACAAAAAAAAAAGAAAGAGAGCAACTTGACCAACTCACTCACCAAAGTCCAAGTCCATTTTGCTTCTAGAAGTCAGAATTGACACAACGCTAATGGCCAGAAGGAAACCGGAACTTCTCTCTAGATCTCCTGTCCCATCAACGTGATATCTTTTTCAAAAAAACAAAATTATCTAAATTGCCTTTCTATGCTTACTGGCTATTGGAGTAGTACGTACTTTGCTGGATACTATTTTTTTTTCTTCTAGAAGAGGGTTAACGAACTAGGCGTAGCAGCTTCTCTTTTTGACCGGCCATTGCCAGCACAGGGGAGAAGAAAAATAGAAGTCTCAGGGTATGTAAAGTTTTTGAAGTATACGGACGCATATTTAAAGTATTAAACATAGATTAATAACAAAATAAATTATAGATTCCGTCTGTAAACTGAGAGACGAATTTATTAAGCCTAATTAATCCATTATTAGCAAATGTTTACTGTAGCATCATATTGTCAAATCATGGCGTAATTAGGCTCAAAATATTCGTCTCGCAATTTACATGCAAATTATGTAATTGTTTTTCTCATATTTAATACCACATACATGTATCTAAACATTTGATACGATGTTTTTAGCCAAAAAAAAAATTTTTTGGCCAAAACTATAGTAGTGCTAGTACTAGTCTACTGCTATCATCATCATCTCAAACTCAAAGACGACGCATTGACTTGCTGCTAGTAAATTTAAAAAGAAATTTAGTCTTGGAGATGAAGCAATGACAGGTCGAACACCCCACTGACCCCAATTACTACTGTGTATATCCTGTCAGTTTATTGGTCAGGATATAACGTACTCCAGCCGTTCAGTGCACGGTCATGCCGTTAGTCATCCCTGACGTCATAAAAATATTACGTACCCAAGCGACGTCTGAACGAACTAAACGTTTAATCAAATCGGCTGTTTCTTACGTGGAAACAGTGATCCAATAACCCCAATAATATACTTCCATAGTTTTGGAGCTAATCGCAAAAACAATCGCTCGAATTAATCTGAAAGCTACGCTGGCAACTGTGGCAGGTCAGTCCAGATCGAACTCTGTTTAGGCAGAAACTCAGGCTGCCCTTAAAAACTCCAAGGATCAGTTCAGTGCCCTTAATGGATAAATCAACGTCTGATTTCACTGTGAGACTTATATATACATGGATCGGTTCAACTTCCATAAAAGCTTTAAAAAGTCCCAAATTTCAAATGAGATCCATATGGTTTGGGAAAGATGGGCCTTTTTTTCCTGACCACTAAGACTAAAAAGTGTAAATGCTTAATCTAAAATTATTTCACCTGTTTTATAATACAAACCGGAAGACACTAGAGGTGCTCTCTTCAAATAGACATATAATATCACAGTTTACCTTTCGAATCGACACCTGAATCCTAACCCCTTAAAGTACAACTGTTTTTGCCAAAAAATTTTGAATAACTGATAATATTTTGTTCTAAATTACTATTTTAAAATAGAATTTTTGGAAACTCATTTAAAATTGCCTCAAAATATGATCATGTCAAAACCTCAAAATTCCACGGGTTTCGATCGCTTATCGTTAGAAACGTGAACCCTCTTAGTACTCACAAACACGTTAATATCTTCTTTTTCTCTTATAAAAAAAATGTTCTTTTCAGTGCAACGTACAGCTAGGTCGGCAAGCATCATCATCGTGGGTAGCTAGGACGCAATTTCGCACTCACAACTCAACTCAACTCAACTCATGCCTAATGTTTATCGCGTGCGTGTTCCCACTTGACCCCAGCCACCTTGCCACTTGGTCTTTTCATCCACTGAGCCATCTGATGTAGCTAGGGGACATTTTAATTAGTTAGGCGGCAATTAGCCAACTAATGTACGAACCCGCCCAGATTACTCGTTGTTGGATTAGCACGCATCACTGTCATCATCTCCTGCCCAACGCCTCAATAAACTAACTGATTAATATATTAATATAATTAATTATACTGGGTGAGAAACGAAGAAGATGCTACTACGCAACACGTCAACTTGGACGACGCGATAAGGTTTCCAGCAGGAGTAGTAGCAGAAGCTGCTCAACTACCACACCCCCATAATAATAAAAACAAAAATCGCAGCGTCACGTCACATAAATGAGAGCCACATGCCAAGACACTAAAAAAAAATCTCTCTCTTTTTTTTCCTCTTTCTCAGTTCGGTACAGATTGTAAAAACATCATGTATAGATATTTATACTACTAGTAATTCACACGAGTGGAATTTTAAGAAATGAAAAATTCATCAGTCTTATTTGACCTGTCTCTCAGCAGTTACAAAGGCACAAAACTACGTGTACATGTGCGTACGTACGCGTATCCCAAGTGTGGTGTATACGCGTGTACTGTTTCCGGTGTGGCCCACGTGGCAGTGGCCTGCAACGAATCAACAAATTGGATCTCACTCCCTAGCTAGCTACCACTACCACCTACTATACTGTATATGTATGCTACTACGTGTGTACGAGAGTATGTATGTGTGTATTGCCGTGTTGGGCAGGGCGTGCGAGCGTGTATACGTACGCTATACGGCCGTACGTATACGGCGAGGCGAAAATACGCCACGTGGCGAGCAGGGGGATGTGGGGCCCAGCTCAGCTCGGCTCGGCTCGGCTCGACTAGCAGAGGAGCGACTCGACGAACAGGTCGTCCCGCCGCTCGTCCTTGGTGCGCGGGAACGCGGCGCCGCCGGCGCCGGCGCCGTAGCCGCCGTAGAGGCCGGCGGGGTTGGGGAGCATCTCGAGGGTGTAGGGCCCCTGCTGGGCGGCGGCGACGGCCGACGGCCGGATCGCCCCCGACGTCGGCGGCGCCGGCGCCGGGGCGCGTCCGCCGCCGCCGCCGCGGCCGACCGGGACGTCGTGGTTGTGCTTGCCCTCGTAGGTGGTGATCACGGCGCGCGTGTCGTGCGACGCCCGCTCCACGTGCTTCCGCACCGGGCAGCCCACCGTCGTGCACTTGTAGTAGCTCCTGCGATTCAAGAACAGATTTGATTATTAGAGACGCAAGAACAGATATGATTAATCGACTAATCGACGGATTTTGATCAGCTTGATTGATTGATTACCTTGGGTTGGGGTTGCCCTTGACGACCTTCTGGCCGTACTTCCTCCACCGGAAGCCGTCGTCGAGGATGTCGATGTCGCTCAGCGTCTGCACCACAAGCCTCGGCTCGCGCACCGGCTTGCCGCCGGCGCCGCCGCCCATGCCGCCGGAGCTGCCCTCGTTGTCAGCATCCTCCTTCCTGAAAACCATGACATCCATGAGACCCAAGAAGAACACACGCACACGCATGGAGATATTACGCTTCGATTGCTGATTTGAGTGATGATGTGAGGCTTACCAGCGCTTGGCTTCGGGCTCGTCGCCCTCGCTGCGGTGCGATGCGTTGTCGGCCTCGTCGTCGCCGAACGTGACGGAGGAGTTCTCGGGCGTCGCGGCGGAGTACTGGTCCGCGCCCGCGCCGGGCGCCGCGAGGTCGTCGGCGCAGGCGGCGGCGGTGGCGCAGGAGGAGGCGTTGCGGCGGGTGGAGAGCGGCTTGGGGTGGTTGTGTGCGCCCTTGTAGACGATCTGGGTGATGCGGCCGTCGGCGAGCGAGCGCTCCACCTTCTTCTTCATGGAGCAGCCGTTGTAGGTGCACTTGTAGTAGCTCCTCGGGTTCTCGCTCCCCTTCACCTGCTTCTGCCCGTACTTCCTCCAGTTGTACCCGTCCTCCAGCTTGTTGTTCCCGCCGCCGCCGCTCTTGTTGCTCGACGCGGCGGCGGCGCCGTTCTTGCTCGACTCGACCACTTGCTGCTCTTGCTCCTGCTCCAGCACAAGCGTACATGAACCAAGGTGAGCTAGACTGTCAACAGTTTATTCAGCTTGGGTTGAGCTAGATGAGCTGAAGCATTTGTACGTACCTTGAAGGAAGGGAAAGAGGCCGGTTGCGCGGCCATGGCGTCGGAGTTGGTGTGGAAGGAGAAGTCGCCGCGGCTGTCATCTTGCTGAGAAGCGATGAGATCGGCGCTGGCCTTCCAGTCGTACCTCTGAGCCGGGATTGCACCGGTGGTCGGGGACGCCAAGATCTGAAAAGCACAAACACGCACAAACGCCATGGATCATCATCAGCACCACACTACACAGCAATTGCGCACTAAAGGTAGAAGAAGAAGATGAAGGTGTGTCACGCGGAACGCACATGGGAGGAGCTGAGGAGGACGGGGGAGTCGAGCAGCTCGGTGGGGCTGAGCCCCGGCGGGATGGCGAAGTAGGACGACGGCGACACCGGCGGCGGCGAGAGCGGCAGGCTCGGCGGCTGCGCGGACTTGAACTTGGGCACCCCGCCGCCCACCCTCGCTCCGCCTCTGGAGAACCCCCTCGGCGAGCGCTCCTCACCGCCGGCGCCGAGCAGGTCCCCACCGCCCCCCGACAGCAGCTCGGTGAACGACGTGATGAACGGCGGCGGCGTGAACGTGAACCCGTGGTCCAACCCCCCCGTCGAGGACGCCATGGCGAGCGTACCACAGCTCAGCCAGCAAGCAAGCGAGCTAGCGAAGCGAGGAGACCGTGACGAAGATGAGGAGGAGAGTGATCGGAGACGAGAACGAGACGACGAGACGGGAGTGGTGGATAGGCTCGTGTCGCGGCGGCTTAAGTAGCGGCTGCTCCGGTCAGTGGGGGCAGAAGCGTAAAGGCGAGGCACGTGTCTCTGACAGGTGGGGCGGAGTAGGTTGGGGTCCGGGTGTCAGTGGGAGAGGGAGGCTAATGTGAACGTGATGGTTTGGGGATGCTTCGGCGAAGGGGGTGAGGTCAAAGCTCGTGCGGTTTGACCGGTCAGACGAGGCGGCTGAGGCTCGCGCCGGGAGGTGAGAGGAGAGGGAGGGAGGCGACGACGTGTGGTTTCGGGGAAGGAGACGCCGGGGTGTGGGGCCCACCCGAGAGCGTCGCGTGTTCCCACGGCTTTCGAGTTTCAACTCGTACGTGTAGCTTGGGGTTTGGGTTTGGGTTGAGGGCGGACTAGTGGGCGTGTCGCTTCGAATGGACGGACGGATTGGGGATGGGGATTTGGGGGGGACAAAGACAAAAATGTGATTTTTTTTTGCTTTTTCCTTTTTATTGTTCGGTTTTTCATATGAAATATCCTTGTATTAATAAAATGGTTAACACTTCCCGTTCATTACGCTGTATATATACAGTGCTTCAACAACAGCACATCTTTGGAATTGTTGTGCGATAGGTATCGGAGCAATTATTCGAGAAGAAATCAGGAGAAATTTTAAAATCAAAAACTATAATTACTGGATGTATTTTCCATTACACGGAAGATATAGAACAATCTTCCACACTTCTACTTATGCGCACCACACTCTCATATAATATCTATCTATTATTTTCTTTGTTTTAAAGTATAACAATTTATAGGTTCTTCTTAAGGGTTTGTTTAGTTGGCAAAATTTTTTTGCCCTTGCGAGTTACATTAGATATACGGATACACATTTGTATTAAACGTAGTCTAATAACAAAACAAATTACAGATTTCGCTAGGAAACTGCAAAACAAATTTGTTAAGTCTAATTAATCTGTCATTAGCAAATGTTTACTGTAGCACCATATTGGTAAATCTTGGCGCAATTAGGTTTAAAAGATTCGTCTCGCAATTTACATGCAAACTGTGTAATTGATTTTTTTTTCACATTAATACTCCATGCATGTGTCCAAACATTCGATGTGATGGGTGAAAAGTTTTTGTTTTGGGAATTAAACAGCCCCTAAGTAGTAAGGTTGGATCAAAAGATTATTTTTGTTACTTCAGTTGTCAATTTTTGAATTTTGAATTGCTTACATTTCCTTTCTAGCATTTGATTGGATGTTAAATCATTGAAATGATGGGAATTAGTGCAGGAATATTTATATTGTTACATATATATTTAGTTGAAAAACAAGTATAGACGCTCATAACACGCGTACACCCTACCCTATAAGCGCTTTTGAAAGACTGGATCATCATATATTGATATTTGAATCTTGGAAATGCTTATATTTTAGAACAGATGAAATATATTATAAAAGATAGCTCGAAAATGGGCTTAGAAATTCTCACATTGAAGAAAAAAATATTGACGGTTTTAACGGTACAGATTGACTGATATTGTTCTATACCAGGTACAATATATATCTCTCAAAACAGAAGATAAGAGCTTTATACTGAATTCAATACTCCTTTTAGAATATATTGTATACAAATTACAATTGCATGCACAAGAGTTGTACAAGAAATTCAATTCCATTTTCAGTTTCTTATAGAAATCATACTTATATTTATAGAAATAAAATATAAGAGTTGCACATCAAATTCAATTCCACATTCATCTATGTAAAATTGCACGGGAAACCTTGTACTTAGGATATTTTTGCACGGGAATTTTTCAGTGTGCGGTAACTCGAAACATTTGAACAGAGTAGTTTTTTATGAACTGAAGTTGTGGTCTTTCTTTTGTTATGTGTGATGAATTTGTGTGATGTGGTGCAATGTGCCGATGTGGTTATGGAAAATGACATGCAACTCGGCGATCTTCGCTGCCGTACTGATCAGGCAATATGGACGGAATGCAAATGTGCCAAACTCCAAATTCGATCAGATTTGCATATATCAAATATTTCCTTTTTTTTTTATTCCTAACCGTAGTACAGTGTTTCTTCATTCTATCAGTTTTCTAGAGCTTGGTTTTTGTTGCTTTGCGGGTAACCGACGGATTTGGTCAAGTGATCTGGAGGACTATCATTTTTTAATTTCATCCTTTTGGTGGATCCTACGTGACTGATTAACGACTTAACAGCCTAACAGGCGGCTAACTATAAACTAGAGTAGCCGTACATATCATACGCAAAACAATTTAAACTCTGAATGTCTGACAGTGATGGACATCCCAACGCACTAGTACCAATTATATATTAATATCTATAATTACGTTGTCCACTCCTTATATAAATTTTTATTTTGAAAAAGATTATTATATTGTTTATTTGGAAAAAAAGTTTTCAAGACCACAACCTGATAAATTTCTCATAATATTTTTTTTCTGAAATCTATAAGAAACAATATTTTTATGAAAATACTTCAAAAAACTTCGAATTATAAATTTTATACACTAAATATAAATAATATTTTGACTAATTATTGATCAAATTTTACAATTAGTCTGGATTTTAAATCACAGCACACCTTAATGAAAACCTAGGGATTGAGTATAGCAAAAGAAAAGTTCGTTTTTAAGGTAATGAAAACTTTATTTCGAGATGAAAACTTGGCAAAAATCTAAATAGGAGAAAATATTTCGTGCAAAACAATATTCAGGGCTTGTTTAGTTCCCAAACAAAAATTTCACGCTGTCAAATCGAATGTTTTCACATGCATAGAGTATTAAATGTAGAAAAAAAACTAATTACACAGTTTGCCGGGAAATTGCGAGATGAATCTTTTAAGTCTATTTGCGCCATGATTTGATAATATGGTGCTACAGTAAACATTTACTAATGATAGATTAATTATGCTTAATAAATTCGTCTCGCAGTTTCCTGACGGAATTTATAATTTATTTTGTTATTAGACTATGTTTAATACTTTAAATATGTATGTATATCTGCGATGTGACATGCAAGGGTAAATTTTTTTTTGCCAACTAAACAAGCCCTCAATCGCAGGACGGAAGTATAATGTACAAGAGGAGGGTACATATCGACTATGCGTCAAGGACATTATATCGGTACTAATTTTAGGTGTTATAGTACTATCAACATAAGTATATGACAAACAATGTAAATAAGAGTGTCGTCGTTCGTTAAGCATGTGCAACGCCAAAGTACGGCCCTAAGTTTTCTAGAAGGAATATGGTACGGTGGTGCCATTTGTCATAATACATTATCTCATCACTTAAAAAATTGATCAACTCGCGTCCAATTAAAAGTTTACCGATTAATAAGCTCATAATCTTACTTGAAGAAGCTAGGCATACACATGTTATCATGTAAACATAATTAATACTGTCTTACTATATCTTACTTGGAAAAGATAGACAGGTCACTTCTTTTCGTTTCATATATATGCATGCTTCATGCGTGTATCTCCAATCTGCTGAGAAAATTGCCATGCAAAAACCTTAATTTGTCCGTTCATAAAAGCTAGAATACAAAACAGTTTATGCATATATGGCTAAAATATTCCCATTCTACTGGGGAGGAATGCGCGATATATATAGCCTAATCCTTATTAAATATTATTGATTCTTTTCTTAACTAAAAAAGTTACTGTGCAAAAGTGCATGCATGGATGCACATGACATGGAAATAAAATTTTCCAAATTAACAAAGGACACGTGAAAAGAATCTCTTTTGGCTTTCTCTCGAAAATGTAGCAGCCCATGTGACTGGTATCCACGAACGCCTACAAATATACTACTACTACCGTCTACAATACTATCAAGCTATAGGCCACAGCTGTCGTTTTGGATAAGCATCACCGCAAACTTTAAAACCTTGTTTATTAATATATATTTTTCAGATTGGACATAAAAGAACACACATTTGTAGTTAATTACATAAAAGAGTTTTTCTTTTTTCTTGTAAATAACTTTTTTATTATATAAAATTATTCTGTTGGCCAAATGTCTTGTAGTTTTCCCTCAAAGGAAATATTTTAATGCGTCTTAAAAATACTTAACAATACTTCATTTGCACTTGTTAAATTTCCTCTCCATGTGTTGTATATTATCCGTGCGTTGCAATGGGATTTTAATTAAAGGAAATTATTTTTAATCAGTTATTACTATCGTTTTATGTATATATCATCTTTAATTTTATTTTCACAAAGTACGGAATGCTTGACAAGTAGGCCCCGTAGCCTTACCCCATCCTTTTTACTTTTTTCTTTAAAGAAAGAAGTTGGTGGTTGAGACGATGGCTGATTCACCACTCAGGCACTCACTAACCCACACCCGGTTAGGCTTCATTCGACTAGGTTGTTTTGCCAAAAAAAAATTGGCAATATGTAAAACAAGGAAACCTGTTAGCGCATGATTATTCAAGTACTAATTATTACAATCTTCAAAAATATATTCATTTGATTTTCTTAAAAGACTAGCAAAATACCATGCTTCGCTACGGGTCAAAAAAAATATATTATAATCGAGAAAAATTTTTATATACCACTCAAAGTTTACGAGTTTTCTTATATGCTAGTGGAAGTTACTAATTCCTTATATGCCATCCAACGAAAATTTTCATTCTTTATATACCGCTATTGAGGTCAAACTGCTTTGACCTTGTCATTTTTTTCAACATACACACTTGAGGATAATGGTTCCACCTTACAGTTGATCTGTCATTTTTGCTAATCCATCCAGGGTGATGCAGACATAAATAGTTCGGATATAACCATACTTATGTTATACATCAACAAGCTAAAGGTGCATATGTTTTATATTGTGCGTGAATGGCCGCAGAGTCAAATTTAGAGAGGTCTAAGTTTAAAAAGATTGGAATTTAAATATCTAAATAGATAAGTTGGATACTTGTACAGTGGGTTTTCCAAGGGATTAGGATTACTTATCCTTGTTGGATTCGTGGCTTTGTGCAACCTCATTAGGGTATAAATAGATAAGAGGCTTATGCTCTCGGTACCAATTTGAGATAATAGATTTTGGAGAGAAATTAGGGTTTTAACCTAATTTTTGGATTTGAGTTCTAAATTTAATAGAGGAGTGTTCTAAGTGCACTTTGTAAACACATCTTAATGCAATAAAGTCGATCTAATTTGAAGAGCGTTTGTCGAGTTGCATTTTCTATTTCCCAGAAGTCAGACCGATGGCACACAGGCGGTCACACCGACGTCCTTAAGGTGGTCGAACCTGCAGCATACAGAAGGTTAGATTGGAGTATTATAGAGGTTAGGTTGCACCTTCATCAGGTTAGAGGGTTTCTTTTATTTCATAAAAGACTTTGGTTTTTGATGTTCTTGTGTCCTTGTAGGCTTGATTCTTAATGTTCAATCCTACAAAATGGACTTTGATGTATCATTTATGAATAGGGGACAGAAGTTGGAAAAGAAGGCAAATGGAGGGAGATGTATTTTTGTAAGGGTATATACAAGATATGACCAACTAACAAGAGGTCAAATGATTTTTTTAAGAAGATATTAGTCCCTCCATTCTTGTTTAAGTTATCATTTAGCATAGGACACTTCGACTTTATGGTTTTAGCCATGGGACACCGTCCGAACTCACTTTTGGGGGAAAACACTGCATAAATGTGGTAATTTGCCAATGGACACCGTGCCGATTAGAATAATAATTTCCGGTTGAAGAGGAGAGAGAAATAGCATGAAATGTCAAAAATGCCCTTGGACCCACATGTCAGCTCTATCTCTTTTCTCTCTCTCTCATCTCTCTCAGAGGGGTAAGGGGCGGCGTCGGACGCCGGTGTGGAGGAAGGCGAGTTCGGCGGGAGCGGCCGCCGCGGGACTGGCGGCATGAGCAACAGAGGACGGTGAGGCCGCGGCGAAGCGGCACGGGGCGGCGCCGGGCAGGAGGAACGCGAGCCAGAGCCAGTCGGTGCGCGGGACGAAGATGATGGGTGCGTCGACGAGACTGAGCTTGGCGGGGGTGCGCTCCTCGCCGCCGAAGAATGGCTGGATGGTGATGAGGCCGGTGAGGTGGAGGTTGGCGAAGGTAGTGGAGGCGAGGGCATAGCACTGGTCGATGTGGTGGGCGATGTTGGCGCCCGCGCTGTCCCCGGTGACAAAGCAGCGTGTGACATCGAGCGGCAAGGTCAGTCCCCTCCTCGAGGGGGATGCGGCCCCGAACCGTGCCGCTTCACCACGTCCTCGCCGTCCTCCGCCGCTCTCACCGCGAGCGCCGCGGCGGCCGCTCCCGCCGTCCTCCACCGTGGTAGTGGCCGCTGTTGGCGACGACGACGCGGCTCTCCTCCTCGCCGTCCTCCACCGCTCCAGCCGTCCTCGCCGTCCTCCGCTGCAGGAGTGGCGTCCTCCGCCGCGGGAGCGGCCGCAGTTGGCGACGACGACGCAGTTGTCCTCCTCACATCCTCCGCCGCTCCCGCCGTCCTCGCCATCTCCTCCGCTGCGACGAGCTTGAGCCCCGGCGACTGACGCCGCCCCGTGCCCCTCTGAGAGAGAACATAGATAGATAGATAGATAGATAGATAGATAGATAGATAAAGAGAGAGGAGAAGAGAGATAGGAGATAGAGCTGACATGTGGGCCCAAGGGCATTTTTGACATTTCACACGATTTCTCTCTCCTCTTCAACCGGAAATTATTATTCTAATCGGCGCGGTGTCTATTGGCATATTACCACATTTTTGGAGTGTTTTCCCCCAAAAGTGAGTTCGGGCGGTGTCCCATGGCTAAAACCACGAAATCGAAGTGTCATGTAGCAAAATTTGCCTTCTTTATCGACATAGTCTTCTATGCTATTTTAGGATTGTGCTTTATACTCATATATTTGTGAAAGATATTAAAAACTACTATAATTACAAGAAAGCGTTTTCTTGCGAGGAATCTACTAATTGTAAGATCGTAAAGGGCATTTCCCACCCTAAAAGCTAGTCAATGAAGCGATGGACTCCTACACTTATATATTAGATCCATTGCCCTTCCACAACCAATGTGGGACTATCCAACAATCTCCCCACATTGATGTCCCTCAGTCATTCACTGTCTCTTCACCGTACATCGATGGTCCCTAAAGTATAGAGGCCGGCCCCACAACACCCACAGTCCATCAGGCCTTCACACAATTTGTCCCTCGGCAGGAGATATTGAACTAGCCAGGCTCTGATACCAATTGTATATGATCGTAAAGGGCATTTCCCACCCAAAAGCTAGCCATGAGAGACTCCTCCACTTATATATTAGGATATTTGCCCTTACATAATCAATATGGGACTATCAACACTAAAATGTTCTTTTACAGATAAAATCTCAACATGAAACAAAAGGATCGTAATTGGTTGTCGAATTTGAAGAGTGTTTGAGAGATCAAGTTGATATAGATAATGACGAGTTCTCACTGGTGGAGAAACCATCTTTGGTCGGTCGGCCGAAATCCACAATAGTCCCGGATCCATTTAAAACCTGGACTAAAGATGATCTTTAGTCCCGGTTGGTGGCTACAACGGGCATATGTGATCTTTAGTCCCGGTTCTAAAGATGTCAGACGTTGTCAGGCCCCCCGGGATCTTTAGTCCCGGTTGGTTACTAAAGATCCTAACTTTAGTCCCGGTTGGTGTGATCCCCGGGATCTTTAGTCCCGGTTGGTAACATCTTTAGTCCCGGTTGGTAATACCAACTGGGACTAAAAATCCCCCTTTATATATGTCTTCTTCCTTCTCCAGCCCGAGCAAGCTTTAAAATTTCTCAAAGAAAGAGGGGAGGTCATGCCAAAATTTCTTGTGAAATTTTTTTAGTGATTATATACAAATCGGAGGTGTCTAAAAGGTTAGTAACTTCATCCTCCAATATTTTTTGTTGTTATATTACTTTTGGAGCTATGTTTCAGACATTTTTTTTGTCTCCAAAACTTTGGTGTAAGTTGATGAGAGAGAAAATTTGTGTGGGGAAGAAGAATATATAGAAATTTTGTTTACTTAAAAGAATTTTATTCTCATAGTTTAAAATATGATGAAAATTAATCTTAAAAAATAGAAAACAAACTAAATTGAGAATTAAGAGAAGTACAACATTAATATTAGTTTAGAACTTCAAAATTGTTAATAAGAATTGTTTGTTGGATTATTTTATAATTATTAATTGTATGAGTAATTATATGTCATTATTGTATGCTTGTCGAAAGAGTTTTTAATTATTTTATCATTATTGTTTGACCGTCATTATTGTACAAAAATTTATTTATGTACGAATTTTTTTCATTTCATGTAGATGGATCGGCAATGGATGTACGCTAACCGGCGGTCCAAAGAGTTTATCGAGGGCGTGCATTATTTTTTGAGAGTGGCCGAAGCTAACAAGCGTAACGGTTTTATTTGTTGTCCATTGAATAAGTGTAAGAACCAGAAGGAGTATTCTACTTCCAGGACTACTCATTTCCACTTGTTTAAGTAGGGGTTCATGCCAAGCTATAATTGTTGGACATCCCACGGTGAGCAAGGGGTTGAAATGGAAGAAGATGAAGCGGAGGACGAGAACATTCCCGACTGGGCTCAGTACGCTGGATTTGAAGGAAATCAAACGGGCGAGGTGGACAGGGATGCTGGCGATAACGACGCTGCGGATGATCTTGGTTAGATGTTGCAGGACGCAAAGGAGGACTGTAAAAGTGAAAAGGAGGCCCATAAATAAATTGGAGCGGATGTTAGAGGACCACAGAACGTCATTGTACCCAGGTTGCGACCAGGGGCACAAAAAGTTGGATACCACTCTGGAGTTCTTGCAATGGAAGGCAAAAAATGGTGTTAGTGACAAGGCATTTGGCGATTTATTGAAACTCGTCAAGAACATTCTTCCGGAGGGAAACAAATTGCCCGAGACAACGTACAAGGCTAAGAAGATAGTCTGCCCTCTAGGACTGGAAGTTCAGAAGATTCATGCATGTCCGAATGATTGTATCCTATATCGCAGTGAGGAGTACGAGAACCTAGAAGCATGCCCTGTTTGTAAAGCACTATGATACAAGATTAGACGAGAGGATCCAGGTGAAGTCGACGGGCAACCAACAAAGAAGAGAATTCCTGCTAAGGTGATGTGGTATTTCCCTATAATACCACGGCTAAGGCGTTTGTTCAGGAACAAGGGGAATGCTAGAATGATGCGTTGGCACGCTGAAGAACGTCAACAGGACGGGATGCTGAGACACCCCGCCAATGGTTCGCAGTGGCGAAACATCGACAGAAAATTTAAAGACTTTGGAAAGGACGCATGAAACATATGGTTTGGTTTAAGTACGGATGGCATGAATCCTTTTGGAGAGATGAGCAGCGGCCATAGCACTTGGCCCATTATGATGTGTATCTACAACCTCCCTCCTTGGCTATGCATGAAGAGGAAGTACATAATGATGCCGATTATTATTGAAGGCCCCAAGCAACCTGGTAATGACATCGATGTGTACCTAAGACCACTGGTCGAAGATCTTAAACTGTTGTGGAAGAAGGAAGTGTCCCCATGTGGGACGAGGACAAACAGGAGGAGTTTAACCTACGAGCGCTGTTGTTCGTAACCATCAACGATTGGCCTGCACTTAGCAACCTATCCGAGCAATTCAACAAGGGGTACAAGGCTTGCACTCACTGTATGGATGAAACAGGAAGTACGTATCTTAAGCACTGTAGGAAGGTTGTGTACATGGGTCATCGTCGATTCCTTGCTGCAGACCACCTAGTACGGAAGAAAGACAAGCACTTTGAACATAAGGCGGACCACCGTACGAAGCCTAAACATCGCAGCGGGAAAACAGTGTTTGCTATGGTGAAAGATCTTAAAGTAGTGTTTGGAAATGGGCCTGGCAGCCAGCCTATAGAGAGCGAAGATGGTCACGCGGCGATGTGGAAAAAGAACTTTATATTTTGGGAGTTACCCTATTGGGAATTCTTGGACGTCCGCCACGCAATCGACGTGATGCACCTCATTAAGAACCTTTGCGTAAACCTTCTTGGCTTCCTAGGTGTATATGGAAAGTCGAAAGATACACTGGAAGCACGTACTGATCTGAAGCATATGAAACAACGCGGCGACCTTCACCCGGAACCAAAGGAGAAAGGAAGCCATTACTTGAGTCCAACCAGCTACACTCTTGTCACGACCGGAATTAACCCAGCGGGCGTTCCTTATGTGCGTGTATTATTCCTTATCCCAGGAGGCAAGGTACACCAAAAGTTGATACAATACAGAGTTTAATAAGCGGAAGCGTAAATAGTTACTTTATTACATGGGCGGCGAAGGCCCAGCACACACAAAGACAAACGAGAAACAGCGGAAGACTAGGGCGACGACCACAGGCGCTTGACTGCAGGCACGAGCTAGACACCAAAGCCTTCATCATCCAGGGGCTCCTCTTCTGGGTTTGGGAAAAATTGAGTAAGACTGAGTACAACCACCGTACTCAACAAGACACACCCATAAGTGCAGAATAAATGCAAGGGAGTACAAGGGGGTTATAATATAAGGGGTTAGGGTTTGCAGTAAACAGCATTAAAAGACACTTAGTTGCTCAAAGCTATTTTGTAAATACGATCCTAGAGCTATCCAAAATTATTAATCAAGGCCGTGAACCCACACGAACCTGCCTTAACCCAAGACATACGATGATTTAGACCGAACTGGCAACCCGACCCTGGGTCCCAGCTCGTCCCAAGCCAACCCAGGCCAACCATTCCACATTTTAGTTGTTAAGCAGGTTTTAAGAACCAAAACACTAACTTGGGTACATTGCTCGGCATGCCCATAACCGAGGACGCGGCTATTCGAATAGGTTATACTCTGATCAGAGGTGTACATCTTTACCTACAAGACACATCTTCCTCACGTGTAACCACGTGCCACATACCACCACGGTATACGGACGGAAGACGTGACATAGTTTCCAACCCATCCTAGCCATAGACAAGAGTACCGACCCAACCCCACCTACGGCCGGGACCTCCGGGACAGGTAGGCAGGACTGAGCCCCTAGCAGCAGGACACCGGCCCTGTGCCATGACATCTCGACTACCGGGCCGCAGCTCGTGTAGCCTTCCTTTGCCCTAGAGATGTCCATCGACCCCCGACTTCGTCCATCTCCATCCGTGTACTTTTGTTTATAACCAGACTGAGCCACAAACTAAGCCTTACCCACTAGACATGTGGAAGTACGGTAGTGCTTTGCAACAGAGGCCCGAAGACTGGTCCTTATATGGCCGAGGTGCTACTATCAAAACCATGCACCCCGAGCCCAGCCTAAAACCATTTTGAGGGTTTTGAATAGAGGGGGAGGTGTGAATCCAATTCCACAATAATCCAACCATTCCATAGTGTACAGGTGATATGAATATTCCCAAAGTCTAAAGTTGTAAAACCACCTAATGTTGCCTAATTAAGCAGCGAAGCATCTACCTAAATTCATACTAGGGGAACCTTGAGTAGAGTGCCCACTAGTTGGGGTTTTGTTTATTCTAGGGTGAACAAGGTAAAAATATCAATAACAATAATAAAGTCATAACAAAGGTAAATAGGCATGGCTAAATAAAACAGTGATAACGCGGGAATTTAAATAAAGCGATATGCAATAATTTAAATCAAAATAATTTTATAAACTGGGATTCAATATGTTCAAGGATGATGTGACTTGCCTTGCTCACTTTCCCAAACGTCGGCTTCAACCTCCACGAAGAGCGGATCTTCCGAAGCTGCAGCGTCTACACGACCAACGGAAAAGAAATGGGCTTTTACTCTTATAAACTCCACATAACAAGCAGGAACAAAGCACAAAAATGGGTTCTTGACTTCTTAAGGAAAAATTAGAGACTTGAACGGTCCAATTCCGAGTTCAAATGGCCAAGTTATGGCCATTTGAAGTTTATATGCTCTTTAAATGAATATTTATGAATTTCTTCATTTAAATTTTAATTTAAAAGGGATTTATTGCGTCAGCCGAGGGGGAGGGGCGCGCGGACTGGGTCCACGGGAGTGGGGCCCACGCGGCAGCCTCACGGTCCACGGTGCACCGGGTGCACCCGGGCTCGCACCGGCCGGCGCCGTGGGCCCCACACGTCAGCCGCACCCGAGGGCACGGGCGGCTGACGGCCGGGCCCCACGCGGCAGCCACTCGGCGCGCCCGACGGCGGCCATGCCGGCACGGTCGGCGGGAGGCGGTGCCCCCGCGCCCCGATGGTTGCCGCCGGCGACCACCGGCGCGGCGGAGCGGCGGCCGAGAGAGGGGAGGGAAGGGGGAAAGGAGGCGGCGGTCCACGGCTCACCCCGGGGCGACGGCGGCGACAGAGGAGGCAGCCGGAGCGGAGGGAGGCGGCGGCGCGACTCGGGTCGACGGGGACGGCGGCGCTCCGGCGGTCGGCGACCGAAACGGAGGGGTGGACGAGGTCGGCGAGGATGCGGCGAAGCTGAAGGAGGCGGCGCCGAGGTGGGAGGCGGTTCGGGGAGACGACGGCGGCAGACCGGAGCTCGACGGTGACGGCGGAGAGAGAGAGCGATGTCGCGAGCTCGAATCCGGCGAGGAGGAAGGGCGGCGAGAGGCAGAAACGGACGGAGGAAGTGCGGGGAGGGTTTAAATAGGGTTGGAAGGGGGAGAGGGCGGCCGGGGAGGAAGTAAACTGGTGCGGGAGGTCCGGCCGCCATCAATGGCGCCGGCGAGATTTGCAGGGGCAAATCCGCCCGTTTGAACGCGAGAGAGAGAGGGAAAAATGGGGGGAAAGGGAGAGGGGATCACGGGGAGTATTTCCCCCCACTTTATTGCATGCGGGGACGACGGGAGGCGGCGGGATTCGCGGCGGCGGCGGCTCTAGGCGTGGGCGAGGCGGCAGGAGCGGCGGGAGGTCGGGGATGACGGGTGGGCCTCACCCGTCAGCGAGGGTGGCGGGCGGGCCCATCCGTCAGCGGCGCGCACGCAGGGAGTGGCCGAGTGGGCCGCGGGGAGAGGAGAGAGAGGGGGAAGGAGATGGGCCGAGCCGGCCCAAGAGGGGGAGGGGAGGATTTTAAGGTTTTTCTTTTTATAAAATCATTTTAACTTTGTTTATTGCTTAACAATTATTATTTGTGCTCTGAAAATTCCACTAAAATTTATTTACACATTTTAGGCTTTTAGGAAATATACAAAAATCCTCTAAGCCTTGTTTGACTTTTACTTTGCACATTTTAATTTTTGGAGGCTTTCACACGGATTTTAATTATTCTAGGCATAATTTTAAAGGATATATTTTAGGGTCGTTTTGGGACATGACAACTCTTAGCAAGGCAGAGAAGGAAAGTATGTTTGAATGCTTGGAGAGCATCAAGGTTTCGTCTGGATACTCCACGAATATAAAGCGAATAATAAGCATGAAGGAGAAGAAGTTCACAAACCTAAAGTCTCATGACTGTCACGTGTTGATGACACAACTGCTACCAGTTATAATAAGGGGTATCCTTCCAGACAATGTCCGAGCAACAATAACAAAGCTATGTGCTTTCATGAACGCAATTTCACAGAAGGTCATCGATCCGGATAGATTAGAAGCCGTTCAGAATGATGTGGTCGATGTCTTGTGAGCTTTGAGTTGATATTTCCACCTTCATTTTTCAATATAATGACGCATCTGCTTTGTCACCTTGCCAAAGAGATCGGTATTCTCGGGCCTGTGTACCTACACAACATGTTTCCTTTCGAGAGGTACATGGGCGTTCTGAAGAAGTATGTTCGTAACCGTGCTCGTCCAGAGGCAAGCATAGCCAAGGGGTATGAAACAGAGGAGGTCATTGAATTCTGCGTACAATTTATTGAAGGCCTTCGCCCAATCGGGGGTACCTGAATCACGCCATGAAGAGAGACTACGGGGAAAGGGGATTCTCGGAAGGAAAGCAATAATGATGGTAGATAACAATTTATTCCGTAAAGCCCATTTCACGGTTCTGCAACAATCTTCATTGGTGGCTCCTTACATCGAGGAGCACTTGGCTCTAGTTCGCGCCAGAAACATCGGTAAGTCCGATGCATGGATTACACGGCATCACATTGATACTTGGCAAAATTTGCTACAGGACACCCAAAAAATGTGTAATTAGCTGTGGGACACCGTAAAGACATGAATTTGCTCAAGGACACTCTAAAAATATGGTAATTTGCTGCAGGACACTGGACACATTAAAATATAATATCTAGTCAATTGATGAGAGAGAAACTACGTAAAATGACAATTTTGCCCGTATCTTCTTCTCCCTTCTCACGTTCTTCTTCTGACTATCCTCTCGCGTGCTGTGAGTGCGGTCGCAGGCCACGCCCGCCGCCACGGACTCCTCACCGTTATGGTGGTCACGACCGCCGCGCCGGACATCTTTTTCTTCCACTTCTTTTTATCGGCCACTAGCACGGAACGACCGCTATCTGTCGGCGTGCCAGCAGGAGAGGGTAGTGGGAATGGGAAGAACGACTCGCATGCATGGCCAGCTCAGCGGCTTACCGCAGAGATGGAGGTTGTCGGTGAAGGACTCTGGCGAGAAGCGTGCGAGCAAGGTGTTGGAGCTCCCGTGAGCTTGGCGACGTCGGGCGGGACGGAGCTAGGGAGGGAGAAGTGGTCGCCTGGGACATCACCGAAGAGGTGGTTGCATCAAAGGGAGAGCACCCAGAGGCATAGCATCCAATGAAGCTGACACTAGGTGGGCGGAGACCAACGATGGTGGCGTTGGCGGTGTCGCAGGTGAAGCCGACCCAGTTGTAGGCCGGCGTGGAGGGGTTCCAGGCAATCGGCCGCTGGTGCCTGTGCCCATGCGCGCCCCACACGACAAGCTGAGGATGCTCTACTCTAAGTTGGGCAAGATCGAGAGGAGGAAGAAGTTAAAGGCAAAATTGTCATTTTACATGCTTTCTCTCTCATCCATTGACTGGATATTATATTTTAATGCGTTTAGTGTTCTGCAGCAAATTACCACATTTTTGGAGTGTCATCGGGCAAATTCACGTTTTTGCAGTGTCCCACAGCTAATTACACATTTTTTGGGTGTCCTGTAACAAATTTTGCCTTGATACTTTCCCCGCGTGGCTGCGATAACATCTCATGGGTAACGAGACAATTAACCAACAACTGGCCTTCCTGGCGAGGGGACCATCTGGCTCGATCGCGACATTCTAGGGATATGAGATCAATGGGTACACATTCTACACGAGAGCCCAAGACATGAAGAGCACGAACCAAAACAGTGCTGTTCATATCGATGCCTTGGGACACGATGATACAACTGGCACGTATTACGGTGCCATCGAGGACATATGGGAACTTGACTATGGTCCTCTCAAGGTCCCTCTATTCCGGTGCCAATGGGTTAGGTTGACTGGTGGAGGCGTAACGGTTGATGACAGTGGGATGACAACGGTTGACCTTAACAAGGTTGGATACTCGGACGAACCTTTTATCCTTGCCAATGATGTAACGCAAGTTTTTTACGTGAAGGACATGTCTAGCATAGGAAAGAAGGGCAAAGGGCCTGACGAGCTGAAGCGCCATGTGGTTCTCCCAGACAAAAGAAAAATCGTTGGAGTAGAGGACAAGACTGACGAGGATTACGATCAGTTTGATGGGCAACCCCCTTTCACTGTGACGATTGACCCTAGCATCCTCCTATCAAATGAAGACACCCCTTACTCACGTAGCGATCACAAGGAAGGAACAATAGTGAGGAGAAAGTACGTGCGGTAAACTATCACCGTCGATGTATTGCCGTAATTATTGTGTACACGATGTAAACTATTTTGGATGTATTGAATATCCATATAAATCAATTGTTGTATGGCATATATTAATTATGTATGATTATTAGAATTTTTAACAAATTTAAATCATGCATATGCTAGTTATATATGATAATTAGAATTTTTAAAAGTTTTAAATCATGCATGTGGTATTTACATATGTTAATTAGAACTTTTAACAATTTTAAATCATGCATATGCTAATTATATATGATTATTATAATTTTTATTAATTTTAAATCATGCATGTGGTATTTACATATGTTAATTAGAATTTTTAACAATTTAATATCATGCATATGCTAATTATATATGATTATTAGAATTTTTAACAAATTTAAATCATTCATGTGCTTATTATATATTATCCACTTAATTCACTATAGACAATAATAATTTTTTGAAGGTTTTGTCATTAATTTTTTGACTTTAAATAATTTTAATGCATTATTTACTATTTTAGAAACACATATGTAATGAAATTTAATATTCAGTGCTATTATCTGTAGTCCCGGTTCTTAACCCTAACCGGGTTTAAAAAGAATTTGGAAATAGCGGGAAAATATCTTTAGTCCCGGTTGGTGAAAACAACCGGGACTAAAGATCTAGGGGTATATATATTCCCGATGCGCCCTCGTCTTCTCCACCAACACTTAGAAGTTTTTTCTCCGATCTCGGCTTCTCCTTCGCCACCACTGCCTATGGCATCCCCGCGCCGACGCCGCCGTCGTCTCTCGCCGTTGTCTCGCGGTCGTCGTCGTCGCCGCTTCCGCCGACTCTACCGCCGATGCCGCCGCCGCATCTCTGGGGTGAGAGCCGCCGCCGACGTCGACGCGGCCGACCCCGACTCCGCCTCCCGCCGATGCCGACCCCGACTTCGACGCGGCCGCCACCGCCGACGACGTATAACGTCGCGGCCGCCACTGCCGACGATGCCGACGCCACTGCCACGCCGCCGCCCCCACCTCGCCACGCCGCCGCGCCACGCCACCGGGCCGCTCCACGCCGCCGCGACGCCACGCCGCCGCCGCGACATGCCGCCGCTCCGCTGCCGCCACTACCGCCCCGTCATTGCCGAACGTGAACGAAACGTGAATGAACGTGAACGAACGCGAACGAAACGCGAACGAACGTGAACGAACGCGAACGAAACGCGAACGAACGTGAACGAACGCGAACTTAATGAGAACGAACGTGAACGAAACGTGAATGAAACGTGAACGAACGCAAACGAACGTGAACGAAACGTGAACAACATGAATGAAACGTGAACGAAACGTGTGAACGAACGTGAAGGCACTTGGACTAAAAGTGTGAGAACGAACGCGAACGAAACGTGTACGAACGAGATAATTAAACGATTATTAAATTTAGCATATATATATATATGATTATATATACTTGAAAACGTGAAATACAATATATGTTCCTTTGCGTTTAGACTAATACATTTTTTTTGCATGTTGCAGAAAAGACGTTGTCGTCGTCGTCCCTCAAGCCGAAGTGGTAGCTAGCCCTCGAAGGAATTCGCGCAGGCAAGTGATGTAAAGATATGATTGTTAGAGATTTAATATAAGATTATTAGATTTTTAATATAAGATTATTAGATTATTAGACTTAGTAAATGTGAGTGTTAGAGATTATTAGATTATTAGACTTAGCATATGTGAGTGTTTGAGATTGTTAGAGATTTAATATAAGATTATTAGATTTTTAATATAGGATTATTAGACTTAGCATATGTGAGTGTTAGACTTAGCTTATATCATTACTACAATTTTAATATAAGATTATTAGAGTTTTAATATACAAAACTTAATTAGACTTAGCATATATGATTATCTAGGGTTCTAATATACGACACTTAGACTTAGCATATATGATTGTTAGAGTTTTAATACAAGATTAGTAGAGTTTTAATATTACGCTTAGCAAGTATGACCTATAGACTTAGCAAATATTTCTTGTATGAACGGATGGCTGATCGCGATGAGGAACAGATACTGTATGATACAATCGCAGAGGAAAGCAGCCAGTCCTGGAACAAAGAAGAGGGGAACGAGGATCCAAACCGGTACTTGAACGAGGAGGGGAACGTGGAGAGGGATGCGGAGGGGAACGAGGAGGAGGAGGCTAGTGGAAGTCAACCCTCCGCTGGATAGAAGAGGGCACGCGGACAACGAGGTGCCGCGAAGAAGCTAGAGGGTCGACACATCATAACAGAAGTAGACGAAGACGGCCGACCTAGTGCCCCGACAGAAGCAGCCAAGAATTACGTACGACACAGCGGTTGGGTTGTGAGGGATAACGTGCCTGTCAATACGGTGTACTGGCGCAGAACAAGGGCACGCGGAGATCATGAGAGCTTTGTCCCAGATTCAGAGAAAGAGATGCTGTGGACCACAATGCTTGAGACATTCACCCTTCCTGCGGGTACAGAGAACATAGTGAAAAGGTGGACTCTAAAGAAAATGGCAGAACAGTTTCAGAGCTTCAAGGGAGATGTCTACCAGAAATACATCCTGAAGGGGTAGACACCGAACTTCAACACATTCCCGAAGCTAAGGGATATGGATAGAAACAAACAAAATGCTGCCAAGAAGAAGTACCATCACCACTTGGGGTCAGGCGGCTATAGCGTCGCGATGCTGAAGTGGGAGGAGATGGAGGCAAGCTTGCTTGAGAGGGGTATCGAACCGACCACCGCTAAATGGCCGGATCGATCGAAATTCTGGTACTATGCTCACGGTGGAACGCTTAACCCAGTTGATGGCTCCCTAGTCTTCAGCGATCAGAGGCTGCCAGTCGACTAACGGATGCAGTGGAAGCCTCTTCTCAGGGCACGTTCCGACCTGACAGTGAGAAGGACGAGCTATCACTCGCCCTGCAGACTCCCGATCATCTAGGACGAACACGAGGGAAAGGGGTGATCCTTGGAAGATTGGATTCAAGGAGGACATCCACACGTACAGGAGTCGGATGAGGAGCAAGAGAGATACCGAGGCGAAGATTGCAGATCTTGAGTACAGGGTATCGAGCTACGAGCTCAGCATTCAAGAGGAGGTGGCAAGGAAGGTGGATAAACGCATGGCCGCACATCGGTCCCAGGATCCCCAGCCGTACATTCCTCCTGCAATGGTCAGCCCATCAGGCAATCGTAGCAGCTGCGCCTCAACGGGGCAGGTAGGATCACAGAGCATGGTCGCCATGCAAACTCAGGACGAAACCACCTACCCCGTTGATGAGATCACTCAGCGGACACCATGTGAGCTACATATTCCCTTCAAGAACTTATCAATCAAGGTATGCTCGTAGTTTTATGATTTTTGACTTGTCTATTCCGCAAGTTGCTGCTTATGTTGATTACTAATAGATAACCTCTCACCACGTGAAGGTGGTGTCGGGAATGGCCATCCCAACGGACCCTTCAGGGACTTACCACTGCAGGCCGATTCCTGCAGGATACTCGAAGGTCAAAGTTGAGTTGGTGGAAGCCGCGTACGAGGACCTCGAGTTGGACTACCCTGGAGGAGACGGTGAGACGCATCTACGAGACACAAGCCACGCCATTATACTATGGTGCAAGCGGTACATCATCCTCCCTGGGCGAGAAGCGGCGTCTCGTGCACCATCTCCTCCGGCTCCGCCATCTCCTCCTCAGGCTCCAGCACCGTCTCCACCTCAGGCTCCTGCACCGATTCTTCCTCAGGCTCCTACACCGACTCCGCATCAGGCTCCTACTCAAGCTTCTGCAGTGACTCCTCTTCAGGCTCCTGCGCCGACTCCTCCTCAAGCTCCTTGTCCATCTCCTTCCAAGTCAAGGTCCCACCAAGCTCCACCGCCTGTCCGCACAAGGGCAACAAAGAAGGTGAAAGTTGACGCCGCCGAAAACAAGGAGCCGGCGTACAATTGCATGCAAGAGGAGCTTGACGCTTATGTGGCAGCAGAAGTCAAGAGGCAATTGAAGCCTTGAAGTCCAGAAAAGAAGATTCCTATAGACTCGAGTGCTAGGAAGTTCTTCAGGGGTATGTCTGCACATGCCAAGGAGGCTATAAAGCTATCGGACTATAAGCGAACACTTAAGAAAGCATATTCTGGAAAGTCCAAACCAATCCCTCAGCTTGGAGAGCAACCAAACCAGGAGGTTGAGCCGTTGGTGACAGGTGAAGAATTTGGAATAAAAGAATTTATTTCTGACACCGGGCTAACTACGGATCAATTGCTACGAGGTGCACCAATCCCAAAGACGGAAGTGAAATACAAGCATGAACTCAGTAAATCGCTTGTCAAGCCTGAGCAGCTGCAGTCCCTACCGACACAGATGTACAAATTTCATCAATTGTACATGGAAATGAGCGCCACCGGTAGAGAGATAATTGGAGCGAGGATTAGGGACACGGACTTCTTGCTAGGAGAAGATATTCTCTGGATCAATTTCAAGAGTATCTACAAACTATACCAACTGGACGCCCTCGACGTCTCTATTATGAGTTGTTGGATTTTGTAAGTATCGTTCAGTTAGATTTCTTATTACATTTCCTTTAATTAATTAGGTCCTTGTATATAAGTACACCATATATAATATATACTTCCTTTTATCGTTGTAGAATGGAGATTCAAAGGGCCCGACGGTGGGGGGTTTTCGATACTAGATTCATCGACCCTCGGAAAGTAAACGTCTCAATGATCGACAAGTATCCGGAAGCAATAGAGGACAATCTCGTCCATCTCTTAAAGGCGCAGCATTACAAGACATTCATACTATTTCCGTACAACACACAGTTAGTTTTTACTATCTTCCTACCAAATTTCATTCCCGTACGTACATGCTAAGTGTTTTATATGTCATGCATCCGACACACATTGCAGATTCCACTGGGTCCTTTTACTCTTCGACTTGGAGGCCTGCGTAGTTAATGTAAATGACTCAATGGATAAAAAAGAGTCTACGTTTGACCAGCTTTTTGAACTTATAGACAGGTAATGTCATAAGTTCCAATGTTATTACGAATCTTGATATAATTAATTGCTACTACGAATCATAGCTTTAAACTCCATGTAGGGCTTAGTATCAGTTCCGTCATTTGGTCCACGGCAATTGGAAAGAAAGACTTAGGAGGAAGTTTAAATTTCCTATGAGTACACATGCTCTACATTTATATTGAATCTCCAATTCAAATACAAGTGTATATTAATTAGATCTCTCGCTGTTTGTCAGGTATATATAGTGCGCAAAGTAAGAACAGGGAACTAACTTGTGCGGCTATTACGTGTGCGAGTATTGCCACTGCCTTGCAGACCAAATCATCACCACAAGAGAGCTTAATGTACGTACAAATAAATTCAAAATTTCATTGCGTACGTATCGATTTGTTGTTTACTAATTAATTTCATACATTTATAGGTTATTCGTATGAGGTATAACCTCGCACACAAGGAATTTATCATGGCGGTTCAAGAACAACTCATGGGATTCATCAACGAACAAGTCATTGATCCCCAGGGTGAATTCTACTACGACGGAAATACAATTCATAAGTCGTTAGCTTCTGAGATAACGACTACTACATCGAAGTCGTAGCTAGCAAGGACATAATGAATTGTAATTAATACATGTCTATTTTTCTATATGTTTACATTTACTTTAGTGTAAATATATATTTTGGTCATATATATGCACTCATTTTAAGTGCTTTAATATATATATACATATGCATTTGCATACATATATGTATAAATACATATATATTATGCATGTATATGTATTGAAACATATATAAATATAATATATATATATATATATATATATATATAACTACTATACAACACCTTAAGGTGCTACGTATTAAACGAAGCGTGATACAGACCTCACATCCCACACCACACCATCCTCCCCCACCACACCAAGATGTTCAGTAATTTTTTAACTCGCGAACGAAAATATAGAGCGCTACCTTATTGGATAAGAGCCATAGGAAGGTGCGTAGTAAAATATTTACTCACGAGCCCTGTGCAGCCACCCTCTTGCATCTCGAGATGTTCAATAATATTTTTACTTCATTAAAGTATGAGTATTTATACCATAGGAAATTCTATCCAACCATTCCTTCCAGCATCAATCACTCCATTTTTTTGGGATCTATAGCACGGCAATCTCAATCGTGATTCTAGCAGAGGAAAGGACGACGCCCCCTTCACCGCGTGCTCGCCAGCGAGGGCTTGATGGCGGTGGCCACCGACGACGATGAAGATGTTGAAGAGATGCAGGGCTACCGGATCGGAAGGATTGGTAGTGCCTCATGCAAGGAAGACAGACTAGTCCAGATGGGATCTGCAGTTGGAACACGGTCTTCTCTGGTGCATTTGTGTTGTTCTTTGGTCTTTAGAGCAAATCTTTATTTTTTTTTGGCTGTATTTGATCTATTTTTAGTTCTTGAATTTTTAGCTCTCAATTCGTCAGCACTCCTGATGATATTTGGTTTGATAGCTAGGTTAGTAGGTTGTGCACTTCTGCAAACAATGCTGCAGTGTCCCTTCCTCCGGGGTGGGGAAGGTCACGATCGACCGCGCTCGGCGGGCGGCAGCGACGGACTGCAGGCCCGGCGAGCCTCTCAGGTCGCCGTTGATGGGGATGGAGGCCTTCGACACAGCTGCAGCATCCCCTTCGTCCATGTATGATGGCGCTAGATGTAGCTCCAATCGGTTCCTAGGCGTTGAGTTTCAAATTTGTACTGATGCAGTGATGCTTATTCCTGGAATTGCTGGATTTCTTCCGTGTGATTCATTACGTACGTGTGCCAGGTTCGGCCGGCCGGCACTGTTCCCGTCCTCGGGGAAGCTCATGGAGTCATGGTGTCGCAAGTCGCAACTGCGTGCAGTGGCCCATCGCCGTCGACCTTGAGACTAACATTTGGCCTTCACTGAACTTCGCGCCGTCGTCGATACCTCCTGCCAGGCTGCCTCATGGCAGCGACAAGCAAGACATCGGCAGGAGTCAAAATGCTAGCAGTAGCTGCCGTTTAGTTTTTTTTATGCATTATATAGATGGACCTACAGCTGCCCTGTAAATTTGTTACTACTAGTAGCACATTTATGTTGTCATAAAAATTTACTGTACCTTTTTTTTACTATATACCAGCAGCGATCTCGCTTGATGCACACATTTTCGTCTACGTCGTTGCCATGATTGCACGTGGTGAGCTCCGGCTAGGCCATGTCGAACAGCACGAATAACTCACTGGCAAGCGAGGATTGGTACTCACCACTACGACGCTAAAACTACGCAACCATCTTCCCTTTTTCTTTAAACGACGACGAAAAAAATGTTCACCCCCATTTTTTCCGGATCTGCCATCAGTTCGTGTGGATGGAATAATTCCTTTCTTTCCGTCACTTTAACTGCGATTCAATTCTCCCTGCGATCACATTTTTATCTGCTTCAAAACAAAAGTCATTTTTTAACTACACATGCCGAGTATTTTTATAACTACAAAATCATCTGGGGTTGGAACCGCTAGATCTGCACTTAGTTTTTTCAAATAACAGTCAAAATTTAACTATTTATTTCACACAGCACGAAAGATGTTTACAACCCATAAGTTATTTTTTACCTATTAAATCCGACGATCAAAACAATTCTCATGCACCACGATCAAAACAACTCTCATGCACCGTACAAGTTATTTTTTAACTATACACGTTCAAAAACTCTATTTTTATTATTAAATGAAAGTAAAATTATCAACCTCATGTCGATTAAGGCCCAGAGTAATATTTTAACTTATAACATGAGGCAGTAATTATTTTACTCAGCCTTCACAAGGAGTGGTGTACAGGCAAGGCAAATTAGAGGAGAGATGATCCAGTGATTTTTTCTACCTGCCGTACAATTTTTTTACTCATTAAGCGTTCACATGACCAGACGAGTAATTTTTTTAACTCGGGACAAATGGGATGGGAAAAGACTTTGCTGGCGGTGGTAGCAGTAAAAGCGGTCCAAGAGGATGCGGTATATGAGAAAAGCGAGGAATCCGGAGGCGAGCGCTGAGAGGCGCGCTACTTCCTTCGTAGCGCTACACACGCGCTGTGTAGCACCACCCCGCGCGTATATATATATATATATATATATATATATATATATATATGCATAAACCATGCAGCAACAGGGCCATGCAAATAAAAAAAATGGCACCTCGATCTTTAGTCCCGGTTATTTCACCCAGGACTAAAGATAGCGATCTTCAGTCCCGGATTGTTTAAACCGGGATTAAAGGGGGTTACCAACTGGGACTAATAAGGGTTTCTCTACCAGTGTTTACTATTATATTGTTAATTTAATTACCCTAGAAACAATAGCATAGCTATTGGGACCATTTGGATAGGCTAATCCGGGACAGATGGGAACATAAAAGCCAAAAGGATACTTCGATGGAGATGCATGCATTGCACTGCAATTTGCAGTGATGGCAATTTGAGCCACATGTCTGTCTTATCTGATTGGATTAGAGGGAACCGAATCCGAATTCACTTCAGTTTCATAATTAACATGTGCCTTTAGCAAAGTATATACTATAGGATAGCAGCAAGCAACAAGTAGCAAAAAGGTCAGTGTCCGGGCATGCATGCTTGTTGCTTGTACGTGCCGTGTAGGCCAGATAAGATGATAAATGGAATAATTAATGGATGATTGGTTATTTCCTAGGATTTCTCCATAAGATTTTTTTCATGATGTTTACTCAATCAGGTTAGTTTCTGTTATATGTTTTATACATACAGATGTTGTCCTGCATGAGTGACTGACCAGTGATCATCACCACCTTAACAAAAGAAGAACAAAAGTTTGATATTTTTCTTTGAGAACTAAAGGAGTACATTCTCTTGTAAAACAGTCTAATAGTACAGTGACTACAGTAGAGAATATATCGTACAAACTAAATCTAACTTAATTACGAGAAAATCATTTTTGTTGGATGGGGGAGAATTGCTACTCTACTCTAATAAGTTATATAAATATGTAATTAGAAGAAAAAATGGTGTCCATTACGACTTCGTCATTCTCAAGATATGCAGGCTCATTTCTCAGAGGTACACATCGGGGTATAATGTATGTGCGTTTATGAGCGAGTGTATGTATATTATGAACGTCTACCCTTATACTATGTTTATAAAAAAAATGTCGAGTAAAAAAACGAAGGCAGTGTGGAATAATTTACCCATCGAAGACAGGATATAGTAAACTTAGGGTGTGTTTGAGGAGAAGGGGATTGAGGAGATTGGGAAGATACGCAAAATGAGGTGAGCCATTAGCTCATGATTAATTGAATATTAACTATTTTAAATTTCAAAAATGGATTAATATGATTTTTTAAAACAACTTTTCTATAGAAAATTTTTGCAAAAAACACACCGTTTAATAGTTTCAAAAGCGTGCGCGTGGAAAACTGAGACTCAATCTCCCCTATCTCCCCCGAAAGAACGATGCCTTAGACAGTTGAGGCATAGACCACCGTATGCTGGGGAATTTAACTATTTGCCATTATTAGATTCGGCAGTTATCCAAATACCCCTCTTAGGTTTGCACATATTATTTTGCCCTTCTTAAGAAATGTCTTCTTAACTATTTGCCACTTTTACCCACGTGGCATGCTAACATGGCAACGGAGGGTAGAAACCGGTGTGGGACCCACTAGTCAGCCTCTCCTCTCTCCTTCTCTCCCTCCGGTCCAGCGTGGCGCCATCATGATGGTGGAGGAGGTAGAGCAGCGGCGACGAATAAGGAGAAGCAGCGGCAGACGGGGCTCCTCGCGGTAGTGGTGGATGCAGAGCGGCGACGCCAGCGGAGGAGGAGGCGTAGCAGCGGCAGACAAGCTCCTCGTGGAGGCAGTGAAGGCGGAGTGGCGGCGTCGACGGAGGAGGCGTAGCAGCGGCACTGGCGGAGGAGGAGGCGTAGCGGCGGCGGACGAGCTCCTCGCAACGGCCGAGGAGGTATAGCGGTGGTGCCGGCAGAGGAAAAGGCATAGCGGTGGCGGACAGGCTCCTCGCGGTGGCGGCGCTGGCGGAGGAGGTATAGTGGCGGCGGATGGGCTCCTCGCAACGGTGGAGGAGGCAGAGCGGCGGCACCAGAGGAGGAGGCATAGCGGCAGTGGTGGGCGTGGTGCGGCTGACGGTGACCGAACTGGTGCGCTCCATCATGACGCTGTTGCTGGTCCGGTCGCTGGCGAGGATGAACCCCGGCGTCATCGAGGAGCCCGTCCGCCGTTGCTCCTCCTCATCCGTCACCGCTGCTCCATCATGGTGGCGCCACGCTAGACCGGAGGGAGAGAAGAAGGAGAGATGAGAGGCTGATTAGTGGGTTCCACACTGGTTTCTACCCTCCGTTGCCATGTTGGCATGCCACGTGGGCAAAAGTGGTAAATAGTTAAGAAGACATCTCTTAAGGGGGTAAAATATGAGCATACTAAGGGCCCCTTTGATTTGGAAGAAAAACATAGGAATTTTGAAATAGTTCAATCATATAGGAAAATTTCCTATGAAGCCTTTTGAAACAAAGGATTGAATCCTATCCAATCCTTTAAAATTCCTATGAAATGAATAATCCTATAGAGATTTTGTAGAAAATTTAGCAAGAGCTTCAACCTCTTGGTAATTTTTCATTGAATCTATCTCTCTCATCCAATTCCTATGTTTTTCCTACGATTCAATCAAACTATTATTCCTGTGTTTTTCCTACGTTTTGCAATCATCTGTTTTACACTTGTACTCCTATCAAAATACGTTTTTCCTATTACTACTTTTTCTCAATCCTGCGATTTAAAGGGACCTAAAAGAGATATTTGATAATTGGACTTAATCCTGCGATTTAAAGGGACCTAAAAGAGGTATTTGATAATTCTCAAATCTAAAAGCGGCAAATAGTTAAATTTACCCTGTATGCTCGCACCCGGCCGTATATGTCGCGTCCTCCTCTCCAAGGCAGCTACCACACCCACACGCGAAGCTTCCAGTCGCGGTCGGTCGGGGTCTCAATAATATCTGGCCGTGAAAGTGACAAATTAATTAGCAAGATCCAACAAGAATTCGAGATCGAGCTAGCTAGCAGCTGTAGCACGCGACGACGCGAGACCATCACCGGCAACTTGCGAATCCATCGATCTTGATCGATCAAATCGGTAACCTTTACCGCCTACGATGCACATCTGCACGTACGTGTGCACTGCGTGCGCGGCTGGCGCTCAGGGTTTACATTACCGCCGCGGTTACCGGTCCTACCGAGGTACGGTAATAGAAAAATCACAGTAACCTCCTTAAATTCAAATAAATTTAAAAATAATTTAAACTTTTGATAAATTTTTACACGGTATTGTACGGTTTTTCACGGTTACCGTGCTTACCACCAGGGCACGGTAACCCTGGCCCCCGACAGTTTAGAAAACCCTGACGGCTCTCCAGCGATCGTAAAAAACTCAATCCTACGTAAAGTACGTGTACATCTATCCCATGGCCTCGATCGCCCGAGCTCCTTTCTTTCTTTTTCTTCATACTTATACTTATATTATAGATTTTATCTCAATTTTATACGAAAACATTTTATATGGAATTTATTTTAAAATATTGGATAAATTTACTTAATATTATAATAATTAGAACTTAATTAATCATGCGTTAATTTTTTTTATTTTTTTAAACTAATTTTACTTTTATTTTCAGTAGAACCAAAGGCCATTCTTACGCAGGGATTATACGTACCTACTCTTCGGTCCTGTTTGGATAATAATCCTCCGGAATCTTGTTATTTAGGAGTATTAATCGTAGATTACTGACAAAACCCATTCTATAACCTCTAGGCTATTTTGCGAGACGAATCTAACGAGGTATATTAATCTATGATTTGCTACAGTGATGCTACAGTAATCATCCACTAATCATGGATTAATATACATCATTAAATTCGTCTCGCAAAATAGTTTAGGGGTTATAAAATCGGTTTTGTCGATAATCTACGTTTAATACTACTAAATAACAAGATTTTGGAGGGCTATTTGATAGCTTGAGTATCCAAACAAGACCTTCTCAGTGAGCGGCTGTGCCATTTGCCAGCATTCACCGGTGACCTGACCGCCATCGATCGCCATGCATGCCATCCGACATGCCAAACTAATAT